AATGCCGTATCATTTTAATGACCCGTTTTGTTTAAAATATGTTGCAGCATAAAGCTATTAGGATGTTAATTTGCGGTGATACTTTAATCGTCTCGTCGTTGTTTTATCGTGCGTCTAGTGGTTCCATTCAACCCTTGTCGCCAAGGCGGGGAACCCTTAAGACGAGGCACACAGGAGGTGACGTGTTCCCGGGCCAGACGCTGTCCACAGGGCTACGACTGCAATACTGACATAGCTGACAGAGCTGCAGTCTGCTGTCCCACTGCTAGCCCTGGTAAGCACGCCAGCATGTAATATCGATATTACATGTAACGAGAATATGGTTCAAGACATAATATGACATAATATGATTATACACATCGTCACAAATGCAGGCTCATCTAAGTATAGACACACGGGTACGCACACCTACGCATGCACGCATGCACGCATGCACCCGCACGCGCACGCGCACGCACACACAAACACGCACACACGCACGCACACACGTGCGCGCGCACGCGCACGCACACACACACGCACACAAATACACACACACGCGCGCGCGCGCGTGCACACATCGTTAGGGTGCCAGAAATCGCGTATCTACAACAAGCAATGAATATACTGCCGTACCCCCGTGAATTGTTTTGCGTGACAGACTCGGCTAAACTTCTATCTTCGATACATTATAATCTGGCTTTCCATGTTGGCTTCCAGCTCTCCGTATCACCGGCATAGAGCAGCCTGGAGTTCGCGACGTTGGCACACAGACAGGCAAGTGTCCAGATCTGTCCGCTCTGTTCTTCTGCCCGACAACGAAACCTTGCAACAGGGACCACGAATGTGACGTTGGCCAACGTTGCTGTATCGGTCCTACTGCCTGCAGAGGCCAGACCATCTGCGTAGATGCAGAGCCGGAAGGTGGCAGACCAGGTAAGCGTAGCGCCATCTTTTGAGTGTATTGTGAAATTACCGTAGTAGGTGTGGTGCAATGAATTAGTGATATAGCGGGTAACATTCAGGTGAAGAAGTTTCAGTAACTACCAGTCGCTTCACGCACTATTTTCTAACTCCGCTTCCTATTTTGTTTCTATTAATTAAGATACAATGGTTATAACAAGTAGTTGTTTCATGAGTCTAATGATTGCATAATGCTGTATAATTTTAATGACCCGTTTTATTTAAAATATGGTTGCAGCATAAAGCTACTAGAATGTTCGCGGTAGTAATATAACCTTCACTGTTTTATCGTGCGTCTAGTGGTTCCATTCAACCCTTGTCGCCAAGGCGGGGAACCCTTAAGACGAAGGCGCCACAGGGATGCGCACGGTCCGGGTGACGGTGTTCCGGGCCAGACCGCTTGTCCACAGGGCTAGGCTACGCTGCAAATACTGACATAGCTGACAGAAGCCTTGCCAGTCTGCCTGCTTCTCCCACTGCGCTAGCCCTGGTTAAGCAAGTCCACCGCGTGCACCGTAAAATTGGCCTTCTCGTTATGTATTGTAGTAATTAATATGTATTCAGGAGTGACTAATAATAGATTATTAGATCGATTATTGTTAGATTATAGACTAAGTTTCGATTATAGTTTAATTATATATATTATTATAGATTATATATTAGAGATAATATTTTTAGAGATATATATATTTATTAGAGATATATGTTAGATTTTATATATATAGAGATTATATATAAAGATTATTATAGATTATTAGCATTGGGTATAGATAGATTATATCTATTAATAGATCGATATCATTAGATTCACTCCGTAATGTAATAGGTATCTGTCTACTGCCTGGTTAAGAAGCGCCACCAGTCAATATATCTGCGAGCATTCAATGGTATTGCGCGGTATTTTTGCTTGAAGTTTTTTTACACGACGTTACTACGTTATATTGCTGCGAATTTAATTGACAAATCGCCGCTAATTTTCACACTTCTTCTCTATATGTACCATAGAAAATAATAGATAGTTATTCTACTAGTGATCTCAAATTATGATACGTTTCTATTGGTACGGCCACGAGGCCCAGGCCCAACTCGCTAGAGGAAGTCGTCAGTTTGAGGAGAGTCCAGGCGGGTGCTCAGTCCAGTAGGAGTATTCCGTCTGTTTCTTCGGAACAGACAGCGTTGCGTAGAAGAGGGTTACACGTGTATCTCGCAAAAAGCAGCCCGGAATACCAGGAGTCTGCTGTCCATCGACCTTTAACAATGGTAAACGCTGCAGCTCTTTTATACAAGTGATTACGTCACCCGTACCCAATTAATATAATAAAAATAAATACGTATTGTTTGCGGTGGCACTTTTTTCACAAAAATCATAAGTAAGTCTGTCAACACTTTTATGCGCCGTTTGAACGTTAAATTGCTGAATTATATTCAATATTTTACCTTATATTGTTCGATATGCTTTAACACTTCACCGACTCCGGTGATGACTTCGATACATTAGGGCCGCATAGCAAGCGCAATTAATGGTCAGGGAAGCATAATAATACCCCCAGGAGTAGCGATAATAGGGAATCTCCCTATTGAATACGAGGACTCATAATAGTGGTTCCTATTATCTACTCTCCTGATAATATGCAAATCGTCCAGTGTGTTTTGTTTTTAGGATTGTTTTACTATTCGACAGAGCACCCAGAGCAAACAAATTCTTCTATCAGGTTAAGAATTTGACCGCCCGAGTCTAACGTTTAGTCCCCAATTAAACGTTCTTACTTTTAATGTTAAAAAAACAATGGCAAACAAAAAGTCTTTACAAATTTTCAACCATAGAAAAATTCGAAGCTGGTGAGGGTGACGCCGACGTATGGGGGGGGGTTGTAAGGGGTCAATTTAAAGAATGCACCATCCTAATCCGCAACCCACCTCTGTTGTACATTTTCGCATCCAACATCTTTTTTATCGATAGTATTTCCCTAATTTATTATTTAGAGCCATTGCTCATGATCTAAATTCTTATTTCGTTTCTTCGCCTTCACTTCCCGCTATCACCATACAGATTAGTAAATTGCAATCAGCGTTACTAGTTCTATATATGGCATTGCTTTATAAGTTATACTCTTTCACTAGTGCACGCTCTGTTATTTATTGTTTTTTTATGCTGCGTATTAGCAAGAGTACAGGGCTGGTAATTATTTTAGTTATTCATACTGCCGGTGCATCAGCTCCGATCTGTTGGAATATTAACCCGTCGTCCTTATTAACATTTAGCTTCGCAATAGTACATACTATGTAATGTATTCGGAAATCAATCAACGTCGTTTATGGTCGTGTCTGTAATCTGTCTCTCCGCAACGAAATATGCCCAAGTTTTGAAGTAATATCCGCTATTACATTAGATGCACTGTGGTCGTGGACCATTCGCAGTGGTTATCCGCACCGGTTGGAGCGTATTTTTTATACACCATACTGCGCATCTTATACTTTAGTTATACCGCAGCGTCACGCCTTACCTGGTGCAGATCTAATCTTTCCTTATAACATTTGTTAAAAACAATTCCAATATTTGTCTCGTTTAATTTTTACCGCAAGATACCCATTTCAATCCGTATCAACCGCCTACATCGCGTTTCTATGCTGGTTCGATTTTCCGACAAGATGCTTGC